AGATCATAATTTAAAATAACTATTTTCAACTTGAAACCGAAAACATTGGCGTTAGATCATTTGCATGAAATTATGGCATGAATATGAATACATATTTATCATAACATACTTTGTTATATAAAAATACTTGCAGAATTTGCAACCGGTCTGCTGAAATATAAAGAATTTTTAATTACTTTTATATTCTTCAACAAATTTAATTTTGAGGAGTGTCTAAGCACTTGTGTAGAATGGTCGGCTCAGTAGAATGACAGGGAGCACATGAAAGACATTCTTGTTTTTGTTGGTGAATAAAATTGTATTGTTTATTGCTATGAGGAGGCGGAGTTTTATTCAGCTGAAAGAAATGATCGAAGTTAGCAAACATTTCACTCTTTGTAACAGTAATACTTATATTTCAGAACCTGGTTGCAAGAATGAGCCATGTAATTTCTAAGAAAAAATTTGCTTTGGTCGTCACTACTTTCGCACGGAAATGTAAAGGAGGGATCACTCTTTCGTTCACGAATGAAGTTTTGGGATCATCATCTCTTTTATTGGCATCCATGCTGGGGCAATGAGGCAACGTCGAGAACTGTTCGGAACATAGTTTAAGCATGTTCTGAGGGTAAGTTACCGTTTAGGAATTCTTATCCTTGCCGGAATTCGCCCCGAACTTTCAGATAGAATTTTTGGCCCCACTACCTGACAGCACTTATTTTAAGCTCGTAGAACTCATCGGGTCCTGAACAACCCGACAACACATATCCTTCGATGGACTGTAATCCTAACGGGCTACTATGACGTTATACTTTGAGCGAGGGCTAAACTTCCGGATACCCTCGTCTAGGGTTACTTGAAACTGGTGTCTTGGTGGTCTGCAAACTGTGGACTGTGTGTAAATCGTAGCAAGACGGAACTCGCATTGTTCATTAGGAGGGTGTTCACTTGACCTTCTCCGACAGAGAAAAATACTAGACATGAAGATGTCGACTAATATCAGTCTTGCCATTTATTTTTTGCCGTCCCACCAGATTTATAAACAAAAATAGCAAGAATCCCGCTAAATACCGGGTGCTTAACTGTCTAAAGATCTGCACAATAAAACATACTATTATGGATCACAGCGTGGCTCAATTGGTACCAATTAGCTAGAACTACACTCAAAACCCCCTAGGTACTTAGTGGTTTAAAGTACGCAACGGAAAACTTCTACATTGGATGTGCCAAAGGTCGATGGAGAGGTCTTTTACAAGAAACACTCTATCAACATCAAATTTAAGCTTCCACAACACTGAATTGTTTTCCAGGTAGAGGTAGCCGCCATTAAGGCATAGTAGTCGATTGGCTGCGCAATTACGAGACAATCTAGGTAAATATCTTCTCTGAAAGGCAAGCGGACATCGCATTCTAGGGCCAGCTCACCTTGCGCTCAAAGCTAATAGGGGAATGCCTGAGCTCTTTTTCCTTCGCGTCTAACTTGTAAAAACCAACTACCTGCCGAATAAGCTAGCCAGGAAAGGCACCTTCAAGTCGCTTTCAACAAAAAAGGTAGAGTGAGAGTGTCTTGATACCCTGTAGACTACTCTTGAGCAGATGCCTGCTCAATGAACGAGAACGGCAAAATCAGGACGTGTTAAGGTAAGGTTAGGTTAGGAGGGCATGTATGGAATATGCCATACTTTCCCTCGGAGACATAATTGTCCATTGTGAGTGCCCTCTTAAAATGAGTATTAGGAGGAGACACGTCCCCATAACCGAGAAAGTAGCTAAGTACTTTCAAGTCATTATTCTACTGAACCAATTACTAAGCCTAAGGAAGCCAAGGAGATCAAAGAGAGAGAATTGACTCTTCCTCATCCTCATAACGGCAAATTCTGCAGAGAGTACTTATTTGTGTTCGCCATCGTTGAAGCATTGGTGCTATAGCGCGGTATCCTGTGATAACACCGGTAAGGACTCTTACTGTAGATCTATTGATACGTTCCCCGTCTTTTTCCTACTCAGTCGCGGCCACGATACATTCATCGCCTTTGCTAACATGATCACTAATCGGTGGTTGGTCGGAGCTATCGGCTTCCTTTGTTTGCAGCTCGGAGCCGCATCTGGCCATCTAATCAGCCAACTCATTTCCTTCAGTATTACTACATATGTATGTATGTCCGGGGACCCAGCATAGAATGACGTTGATACGGCTCAGCGACCACAGCGTGGTGCGACATTTCCTTACACCTACCAACTACTTAGTAAAAGACTAGCCGCCGTTTCTCTGCTTGGAAGACACTGCAATCGTTCGGCGGATGAAATGACCGAAATGAAAAGGTTAAAGAATAACACTTAGAAAAAGACCACTATAAGAATGAAAATAAAGATGAGTACGTATATAGGTAAAGAAAATAATAAAGGCAAAGGTAAAAATAAAAAAATAGAACAAACATGCGTAAAAGGCAAAAATTAAGAGCAAGGAAAATTTTAACACTTTACTTATATAAGGGCAAAGGTGAAGGGGAATATGTAGAAATGAAGAAAATGATTAACATAAAAGTAAATACAAAGATAAATATAAAGGAAAAGATGAAGATGAGGATAGATTAGATGAGAGGAAGAAAGATTAGAATAAAAGTAATTATAGAGAAAAGGATATATGTACATAGATGGAGACACAGAGACTCAATCTGTGAACTATTTTGGATTTTAGAGACTTTCGGAATTCTCGGGACTTATCGATATAATAATCGATATTTTTATTGATTTTGTTATCGATATTTTTTATCGCTATTCATATTGGTTTTGTTATCGATATTGTTATGGATTTTGTTATCGATTATTTATCGATTTTTTTATCGATTTTGATTTCGATTTTGTTATTGATTTTGTTGTCGATTTTATTTTCGATTATTTATCGATTTTGTTATCGACTAATTTTCGATATTGTTATCGATATTTTTATCGATTTCGTTATCGATTTCTTAAGCGATTTTTGTAAACGATTTTGTTATCGATTACTTATCGATTTTGTTATCGACATTTTTATCGGTTTTGGTATATGTATTTTTATCGATTTTCTAATCGATTTTGCTACCAATATTATTACCAATTTTGCTATCAAAAGTTGTATCGAATTTGTCATCGATTTTGTTGTCGATATTTTTTAATCGGTTTTGTTATCGATATTTTGTTGGATGATACTATCGATTTTGTTATCGATATGGTATAAAGATAAAAATGAAGATAAAGCAAAACAGAATAATATAAATGTAATTAGAACAAACAGGGGTAGAGGTAGGGATCTAGATAGAGAAAAGATGTATGTATGTATGTATATTGGTTATGAGACAAAAAAGATATGTAATGTAAGTTTCACTTCTCCAGTGGGGCCCAGGCGCACTTACTTTTTTTTATTTATATATGAAATTAGGCACGTAATTAGTTTGTATTTAGTATGTACATATGTATATGTTGAGAAATTAATTTATTTTATATTAATTTGTTTTCTGCTGATGCTATTCATTAAACAAAGACGGCTGTGAATTAATTAGATGAATGTAAAGATTCAGAAGTAATTAAAATAATGGACTTACTCATAAATGTGGTAAATAGCAATATTTCCAGGAAGGAATCTGAGTAGCCAGAAATAATTTTTTTTTGTCCAAATGTGTTTAGTAAATTTGTATGTATATTGACTAATAGTCTTTTGATTAGTGATTAAGTAATTAAATACAAACTAATATAAAACAATAGCTGCCGCACATACACACAAACATATCTGCAGACATACATATGTACATGAGTAAGTATGCATGTCCATAAACACTGGCGTAAATATAATAATTTCAAATGTTGCGGAAATAATTTCAACTTAACTTCATTCAAATCGATAAACAGCAAATAAATTTCATCGAAGATATTTTAATATCAATTAAAAGAATTGTTAATAAATCTTATAGAAGACAACGAAAATCCAAAAATGTTGAAAAATAAACACGAACAACATTTATGGGATCGAAACCGCACAGGCCGGGTTCAAATGTGGTTGTGCTTCAAGCGCAAACATTTGAATTTCTTATTTAGTAAATCACATGCAAAATGAATTTCATTTGTGGCAGCGGGAAAAACTTGAAATATATTAGCGAATATTTGAAGCTGAATGATAAATAAATTACCAAAAAGAAAGAAAGAAAAAACCGAGCAAACCACAATGAAATGTGGCAAAGGGCTGGCAAAAATGAAGTTCAATTTTACAGCCGTTTATGTAACAGTTGCCAATTGCTGGCTGCTGAATTTTGTGAATACTTTACATGGGTGTGGATATTTCTACGCACACATGCGCATTAGAGAAAAGCTACCCTTAACGGTTAATAAATACGGCAAAATTCACATTCACACACACCCACAAATCCACAATGGGGCGCAACACCTGCCCTGGCTGTGTGCGCGATAAACGAAGCTCCATACACACACAGAGAGTGAGAGAGAGAGCGAGCGGCTCCACTTTTAACACAAATACATACAAAGCCGCCTTCAAGTCGCATCACTGCGATCGCTGCCTGTTAAACCCGTTTCTTGCGTGTGCTGCTGGGCTGGCAGGTTTTGGGCACGAAACGCACCTACAGCACAACTCCGCGTCCGCGTCTGCGTCTCCGTCAACAATTCAGCTGGCTTTGGAGCAATCGAGTGAGCACACTGTGCTTGCTGTTGTTATTTGAAGATGTTCACATTATTATTTTATTTATTTTTTTTTGCTGCCGATGATGCGAACGATTTCATTGCTGATCGCTAATGAAACGTTGTACTCAGCGTCAGCGTTAGCATCGACGTTTGCGCCTGCGCACCACTACACACCTGATTATTTATATATGTACATGTTTGTATGTATAGTTGGCGTGGCAGATCGTCGCATTGTTAATTTTGTTGTTAACAAAAAAAAAAAAAAAAACAAAAAGATGTTGTTTCGCAGTTTGGGCTTTTGTTGAATTTCGCAGTCTTCATTTATATTGGCAAGCAGCGCAACGAGCATCTTCAGTTCTCACAGATCGGTCCAAACGGTACGGTCTAGCAAAGTAAAGATTTTTTGAAATTGTAATTTCCAGCATAACAATTTAGTATAGTTTATTGTTTTTTTTTTCTAAGAAATTTAACACTTAACAGTTATTTTAAAAATACTAAGCGGCAAGAATTGAGTTTATTTAATAAAAGAACTTAGAACAAAAACAATTTGAAAAAAAATTTTTTTCGTTTAAAGTTGAAAAAAGGTTTATCTAAACCATTGTGCCTAAAAACATTCAAAGGACAACAACAACAACTTGCAACAAGACTGTGGATTACTAAATCACAAAAAAAAGACAACGAAAAACAAAAATAACGAACATTTGTGCAGCAAACATAAAATTTGCTTAAAAGTTTTTAAAAAAATATTCATTGAAAAAGACTTTAAAAAAACATTTCTCAAACGCCAGATGGATTAAGTGTTAAAACAAATATATGTTTGAAGTGAAATTTGACGCTGCCGTCTTAGTTTATTAATTTTTTATTTTCTTTTCTTTCTTCCGAAGATTTTTTAATAGATCGCCTAGAACTTTTAGTAAAATAATTTTCCTTGCTTTAAGCATACAATCAAGAATGGCGCGTGCAGTACTTTGCATGGTAAGTTTTTAAAAATAAGAAATCTTAAAAATATTGAAAATTTTATAAAAAAATTTTGAAAATTTTATAAAAAAATTTTAATAATTTTGTAAGGTTTGTAATAATTTAATCAAAAATTAGTTTTTATGCAATTTTTATTTCATTTATGCATGTACGTAAATATTTTTATTGCGAAAGTTTTACAAAATTGATTTTAAAGGTCCAGGGCTTTGAAAGATGTTCCTAGCAAAATTAAAAGGTTTTTAGTATTCTTACTCCTTGTTATTATTTTTTATTAATTATAGTTTATTTTTTATCACTTAATAAACTCTTTAATTTTTTTTTTAATTATTTTAAACTTATTTACTTATTTTTTTTTTTAATTTTTCCGAGGTTAATAATTTTATTTTTTTATTTTGGCTGCTAATTCATTTTATATAAAATTACCATTTGATAGGAGCAGACGCATTTATACTTTCCAAAGTTTGAATGAAAGTAGTGAAACTCTTAAGGCAAGTTTTCACCATGTCAAATTTTGTCGACAAGACATATCGACAGATTTTGCTCAATTTTCTTATCGTCTAAAGCTGGCAGATAGTGGACTTAGCAACGATTGTGTTTTCACTTATTTGAAGATCAATATTATAAAACTAGCTTTAGTGAGAACAGCGCTTAAGGCGCTGAAAAAATAATACATAATAAGGAAACCAAGCTTTGCTTTAGTGTAGTAAGCTCAATGCTTTCCTTAATCGTATTTTTAATATTACAGTTTTTATTTTAGCTTATTTCAAAAAAGGTTGTCTAGCAGAGTCATATACGCAGGCACATATTAGGTGGCGCCTTAACGTAATGATGTACGCCCTTACCTAAGTCTATACATGTGTATATACATATGATGTAAAAAATGTGCATACATACATACGTAAAAGTACGCCTACGAAAAATTGTATGTGTGTACAAAAGAACACATACTCACATATCGCTACCTTAAGCTGCACCTTTTCAGCTACTTTTTTTCAAAATTTAGTTTTTGATGCAGAATTACAGATAATGCGTAGCCACAACGATTTTTCGCCTCTCCAGAACAATTTTAAAAAATTCGACTTGGTACCTTTTCACTTAAAGGTAACGATATCTATCAAAACTCAACTCAAAATATAGCCGGTGTTTTATTTTAATTGTCTAACACAAAATATGTACACACACTGCTTTTGTTGCTGAAAGCATCATAGCTTTGTATTGTTGTTGGGTTTTTACTTTGCAGCCACATTAGCAGAACTATAAATTGCATTCTTTCGATAAGCCGTCAACGTATGCACTTTACTCAGTCAATAGCTTAGTTATGTATGTACTATGTAGTATGTCTAGTAGGATTTTGAATAGGTTTTAGTCTCTATGCGGAGCTTAGAATGGCTTTACGGTCATTTCGCTAAAATACATATTTACATAGTAAGTATTTCATATTTTTACAATGTGCGCGTACAATTCTGTCAAGTAGAGATTGTCATTTTTTCTGTGATAATTTTAGAATATGAGCATTGGGGAGAGGGCAAAAGTAAGGTGGAAAAATTTGTAATATGTATGACAAGATATGGCATCAAGTGATGTGCAATATGACATCATGTGATGTGATGCAACACGATGTGATATATACATACATACAAATGTAATATATTTATATGTTTTTGCTGGCTATTAAAAATGGTCTAATGGTTGTGTCAACGCGGTAAGAATTATTACAAAACGTTAAATCTTATGACATGCCATCAAATGATGGCTGTTTAGTACATTCAAAGCTGTGTTAAAGCCTGTTCTTTTACAAAAAAAAAATCAAGTTGATAGTGCAGCAAATCGATGGATAAATAAAGAACTAATAAGTGGTCATATGAAAATGCGCAAAGATTTTTTGTATGAAAAATGAGCAGGAAAGAATGTTACTCATACGCCATGTATGTATACCTGAAAATATTGCGAAGACTTATCCATAGATACGGTGACCAGATTTCTGTGGACAAAAATCGGCACATTTCTGAAGTATCGAATCTGAACATACAATTTTGTTAGATAGAATAAAAAAACATAACATCTTTTAATATACAAAGTTTTATTTAAGACAAAACAAAGAGAAAAAAACTTGAAAAGAATTATCGCAAAAATTTATACACACAATATGTACGGTGGCGATAGTGTAAATAGGGAAATTACATTTTAGCAAGTTTTGGGTACTTTTCTTTGTTTAAAAATTTTTATTATTTGAAAAAAAAACGTTTAACTTAAAATTTCAAATTTTGTAGAAGAATTAGAAAAATTCGATGAATTCTAACAAATATTGATAAAAATTTCAAAATTTGTGCCTGCAGTTTTGAAGCCCATTGAATTTTGAAATTTGCACTTCGTTTTTCTAAGAAATATAATTAAAAAGCACACAATTTTGATAAAACTTTGTAGAGTTTGGAAAATTTTTGTACGAAGTTTTATTTACATGATTTCTGTTATGCAACGAGCTTTACTTTCATAAAAAATAATGTTTCTTCCCTATCTATATTTTCGCCACTGTATCTACACCTTATATTCATGAACAGTTTATAGTATTATTTTTTACAATTCAACTAAATTCAAGCTAGAATCGTTTCATTAAAAAAACCAAAAATTTAACAGTTAATTATAAAAACCTTGACAAGGATGATGACTGCAATAAGCGAGAGTACCAGTTCATAGAAGGAAAATAAAGGATGATTTCTATGTTTATGGCTCCTCTAACTGTATTCTACGTTCTTTGTGATAGCGAAAGTGCTGCTAAATTTGTATGAAAAATTGTTTTTGTGCCAGAGTACAGGAAGACTCTTGTCAAATTAATAAAGAAAACACTGAAAAGCGGGATTTAAGCGGTACAAATACGAAAAATCGGGACACTCATACGTCCCGAATTTTAAGAAATATTCAGCGGGACAATGTTCTCAAAATCGATACTGTCCCGCCAAAATCGGCACGAATGGTCACCGTATCCATGGAATAAAAAATTAACTCTATTTTCGGAATCAGTGAGAAATTCTGTATACGTATTGGATAGTGGCGTCCGTTGAATTATTTTCCTTTAAACCAGTGTTATTTTTCAGTTTAAAACCTAACTTAAAATCTATAACTTTGGTAACGATAATATCGATATATGCAGATACATACGTATATCGGCAAAAGCAGAGAAGTATATCGATAACGCTTTGTTAAAATATATCGTTTAATATATCAGCGATGTTATGAATAAAAATGCCAACGCGATATTAAAATTTTAAATCGAAATATGTATACATATACATACATATGTATATCGATAAAAAAGCTTTAAGTGTATTTTCCCAAATCTACTCGCACCTAACTTGTTTGTTGCCTTCCTTTCTCACCCATTCCATTAAATTTTGAGTATTTCTGCTTTTATTTCTCTACTTTTTACTTTGCGATTGTATTAACTAAGCACCGTTATAAATCTGTCAACACATTCTTAACGGTGCTCGCATACAAATTAATCCACCTCTGCTATAAATGTTAATGCAAATTCACACAATTATTTTATTTCATTGTAATAAAAAAAAAAAAACAAACAAATTATTCACTTCCACTCGGTCAGCACAGGAACGTGACAATCAAAAGCAGTTGCTGGAAGAGAATTTAAAAATGAGAAAGAAATGAAGATCTAAATATGTATGTATGTAGATATAAACATTTAACAATTAAATGAAGGTCAAACTTTTGTCTTTCTTTTTTGATGAGAATATGGTGGCTTTAGCAGTTTTTGTGTGCCATAAAATTAATTAATAACAAATCCGGTTGCTTTATATTACTTCCACAGGTTTTATTTTTAGTTTTGTTTTTTTTTTGCTGCTGTCGAAATCATGGCTGCTAAGTAACTTAACTGATATTTATGTATGCAAGGTGGGGTCTCAATTTCAAAGGAAAATCCAAGCGGAATAATTCGTGAATATATTGCAAATGCAATTTATATTTACATGCTCGCATCTTATGAACTATCTATGTGAGGAAAAAAAAACTGTAGCTGATGTGAAGATTAAAAGCTGTGGAACTAATTTTGTGCTCGTATCTATGTATGTATAGAAAAAGGTTTCGAAATAAGTAAATAGAAAAATTGATGAGGATATGCATAAATTTATCGATAAATATTTAGATATACTTCTCGGTAAATATTTAACTGGAGTTATCGAAGAATATTGTCGGTAGCAATATTGATAGGTATAAATACTTTGATCTAAGTACGATAGATTTATCGCAATAGGCCGATAGGTGTATCGATCGATTTATCGCTTTCTTTACTTTGAACCTTTATTAAGATATCGAAGAATTCGTCGATAGCGATATCGGAAGTATTTATCTATTAATGGCGATATTAAAGGGTATAAACACATTTATCCATAGATTTATCGCGAAGTATAAATATGTAGGTCGATAAGTGTATTAGATATCGATTTTTTAATACCTTTTTCATAGTTTCAACGGATACATTTACGAGAAAAACTTCAATAAAGTCTATCGAGCTGTTATCGAAGTGTAAGTAATTATAGTTAATGCGTAAAAATTCCGATCTCTATATAGCGAAAACAAATTATCGACACAAATTCCGATAATTTATCGAAATAAAGATGATAACAATTTTTATATTAATATCGATACTTCGTTATATTACCGATAAATATGTACATAATCGATAAATATTTAAAGAAAGTATGTCGATTAATATATTATTTGCATCCTAGCCGCTATCGATTAATGCCAATAAAAAGGTTTACCCTGCTCGAGTAGCCTGAAAAACTAAACCGACCCTCTCACTTTTTAAAACACTTCCGTTACATGAATCAGAAAAAAACCCTGCTCGTTGTATTTTTTTTTAATAAATATGCAAACAGCCTCTAAATTTTTTTTCGCATATTTCATCTCTAATAAACTTTTTTTCAATAGAAACACCAAATTGCTCTG